CCCTCAGTGTATCAACCTGGTACTTGTGATAACGGGCAAAATTCAGAATCTCTATTTATCAAGATACAAAACCAAATCAGCTTCATTTCCAAGGATGGATATGGAATCCTAGAGAATAATCACGAACAAGTCTGTGAAACACTCCAAGCAGCAGTTTTCTGATAATTACCTTTCAGGTTTCTTATGATAGCAAATTAGTTCTAATGTGCTTCCCTATAACAGTAATGTAGATAAACCACATAACAAGTGCTTGATACATTAGTGCTAATAATAATAATCTTTATATAATAATCTTTGTTATTATTTATTTCAAGAGCCCTGATAAATACTTCTGTTAGTACTGAGTAAATAGGATGAGTTGATGACTTCTCTTTGTTTTTTTTAATCACCTAATATACCTGATTTATCCCTCCAAAATTAAATGATACATATTAAAAATTTTTGTAGCCACATGTTTGTCCAAAATCCTTGACAAAATAGCCAAAAAAGGATAAAGTTCTCATGTTAGTCATATATTTACTGTTGAGTGATAGCCCAGATGGTGTGTTCTAGACTATTTCTCATGTCTCTAATATAAAAAATAGTTGTACTAACTTTTTACTACAATGACAGTTTCCTGTAGATTTGTAAGAACTATTGTCCTCTGACAAATTTTGGGAAAAGTAACTTTTCTAATAATATAGAAGTTCACATTAATTTTGTCTTTTGAAAAACACTTGCTTAGCTGAGGGCATTTCACTACCACAGCATGACTTGGGTCAATTTCAAGATAACAAGGTGCAGTTTATAGCCAGGGGCAACTTTCTGGGTCCTGCTGGGCCCTTGATACTGTAACATACATTTTGGGCTACTGATCTTTAGTTTGCTCTCATAAAAGTTCTGCTTGGCAATAAGGATATTTACTAGATGATTTTTAAATGCTTTTAAAAATAACCCTTGAAAAGTAAAATATTTAATTGATATAAAATTATGCATATTTAGTGGATATTATGGATTATTTCAACATGTGTGTTCATTTGCATAATAGTCACGTATTCATGATATCATTTCCTTGGGGTTAGAATATTCAAAATTCTACCTTTTGGGGAAGTATACACTACATTATGATTATCTGTTATCTTGGAGCAGAGCACTATGATTTATCTCTCCTGTGTAACTGAAACTTAGTATAACTTGACCAATCTTTCCCATTTTTTCCTCCCTTCTCCTTTCCTCAGCCTTTTCGATCAGTTGTTCTATTCTCAACTTCTTTGGAATGACTTTTTAAGATTCCACATATAAGTGATACCATGTAAAACTTGACCTTCTGTGCCTGGCTTATTTCATGTAACACAGTGCCTTTCGTTTCTATCCATATAGTTGCAGGATTTTACTAATTTTATGGCTGAAGGTACTCCACTGAATGTATGTATCCATTTTTTAATCCATTCATTAATTGATGGACATTTAGATTTTCTCCATTTCTTGCTTATTGTGAATAGTGTTCCAGTGAACAAACAAGGAGTGCTGATGTCCCTTTGACATAATAATTTTATTTCCTTTTCAGATATGCCTAATAGTGGGTGTGCTGGATCCTAGAGTTCTCTCTATATAGTAGTTCAGAATAGTATATTTTGAAGTCAAATAGCTTAATACTGTTTTGCATATTGACCACATTAGTTTACAATCCAAAAGTGTGAAAAGATCCTTTTTCAACACCCTCCTTAACACTTGTTATCTTTGTTTTTTGAGAATAGCCACCTTACCCAGTGCAAGCTAATGTTTTATTTTGATTTTAACTTGCATTTCTCTGTTTATTATTGATGTCGGACCTTTTTGAAAATGCCTGTTGGTTAATTGCATGTCTTCTTTTGAGTAATGTCCTTCTGTACTTTGGTTTAGTTCTCATTTTAAAATTGAATGATGATGATGATGATTCAAATGACAGTTTTGATATCAAGTTGAGTTCTTGATGCATCCTTACTATTAACCCCATATCTATATAGAATTTGCAGTTATTTCCTTCTTTTGTATGTACAGTCTTCATTCTATTGTTTCTTTTTCTGTGCTGTCTGATATAATCCTGTTTATCTCCTATTTTAGTTGTCTGTGCTTGGAGTGGGGGTAGTTGGCTTGCTTATCCAGAAAATCCTCATCCATCCAACATCCTGAAGTGTCTCTCCTATGTTTCCTTTAGTAGTTTTATGCCTTGCATTTAAAACCTTAATATATATTGAGTTCTTTTTTTGTATTGAGATATTGCTATATCGCTTCATTCTTCTGTACATGGATATCTAGTTTTCACAGCAACATCTGCTGAAGACACTATTCATTCCCCCTATATATGGTCTCAGCATCTTCCTTGAAGATCAGTTGGCTAATAGTTGTGGGAGATAACTTCTAAGCTCTCCATTCTTTTCTACTGGTATATGTTTTTGTTTTTAATCCCAACATTATGCTGTTTTTCATTACTATAGCTTTGTAGTATATTTTAAAGTCAAATATTTTCATGTCTTCTGTTTTCTCATTACTATAGCTTTGTAGTATATTTTAAAGTCAAATATTTTCATGTCTTCTATTTTTCTCCCTGCCTCTCTCAACTAAGTTTTTTGTGGTTTCATATAAATTCTTTCTATTTTTGTGAAGAATGTTCTTTGTAGCTGGGTAAGAATTACATTAATTCTGTAGATCATGTTAAATGATATGGATGCTTTAACAATATTAATTTTCTAATTCATAAACACGGATGTCTTTCTGTCTTTTGTGTCCACTTTAATTTCTTTCATCAATGCTTTGTAACTTTTATTGTGGACCTTTCCATTTTTTTAACTAAATTTATTTCTAAGTATTTTGTTTATTTTTGTAGCTATTATAAATAAGATTGCTTTGGGTTTTTGGTAATTTCATTATTGATCTGTAGAAGTGCTGCTCATTTTTCTATGTTGATTGTACAAGTTGCAAGCTTGCAGATTCATTAGTTCTAAAAGGTTTTCAGTGAAATCCTTATGGTATTATGATCTCTCTTATGATAGTCTATAAACAGAGACAGTTTGGCACCCTCTTTTTCATTTTGGATAACATTTATTTAATTGTATTGCCTTCCTTTGGTTAGGATTGCTAGTACTAGGTTGAAGAAAAGTGTTGAAAGTGGGTAGGTGTTCTTGTCTTGTTTTGGATCTTAGAAAGTTAAGCTTTGCCTTATTTAATATCATATGAGCTTGGGGCTTATTATACTGATATTTGGTTTTTGCAATATTAAGGTATGTTCTTCATAGCTAATTTGTTCAAGCTTTTGTAATATAAGGTTATTGAGTTTTATGAAATCTTTTGTCTACATCTATTGAAGTGAACAGAAAAATTTTTGTGTTTTCTTCTGTTAATGTCTCATTTTATTAATTTACATATGTTGAAGTGGGCTCTTACAGCCCATTTACTTCATCATGGTGAATATTTTGTCGAAAATTTTTGTATTCATATTCATTAAAGTTGTTAGTCTGTAACTTTCTTTTCTGCACCCTAATCTGGTTTTCTTGCTAGGGTAATGCTGGCCATATAACAAAGATTTTTTTCTTTACTTTTTAATTTTTTTAATAACTTGAAAGTATTGCGATTATTTATTTAAATATTTGGTAGAATTCAGCAATGAAGTAATATGATTCTGAGATTTTTCGTTATTGATTCAATTTTATTACTCAACATTGGTCTGTTTATATGCTTTACTTTTTGTGGTTCAGTTTTGGTAAGGGATATGTACCCAGGAGTTCGTTCATTTCTTCTAGGTTATCAGATTTATTGGCATACAGTTGTCAAAAGTAGTCTTTAATGAACCTATTCATTTCTGTGGTATTAGATGATATCTCCTTTTTCATTTCTGATTTTATTTGAGTCTCTGTTGTTTCTTCTTTATCTATAGGAAAGTTTATTTTTGTTTCCAAAAAATTAAGTCTTAATTTTGTTGAGTTTTGTATTTATGTTTTAATGTCTATTCATTTCATTCTACTTTTTATTATTTTTTTTCTTCCATTAATTTTTACTTTTTTCATGTGATTTTTAACTGAGTACAACAATAAGTCATTTATTTGAGGTCTTTTTGCTTTTTTTGATACAGGACAAAGGTACAGGCCAATACTTCCAGTGCCCACAATTCTCAACAAAATATTAGGAATTATACTGGTGCAAGCTTAGATTCATGGGCTTTGTCAGAGGCCAGTGCCCTGGAGGTAGGGGCTGTAGAATCCCGTCAAGTACTAGGTTTCACTGTGGGGAATTACTTTTGGGATTCAGATCAAAGACCTGCACTTAGTTCCTTATCTTTCCCTCAAGTGCCCGATCTCTCTCCATGCTGTGGTGCTCAGAGTTAAATGAGGGACTCTTTCCTTCTTACCTGCATCTTTTTTATTATTGTGATAAACCAGATACTGTAACTCTCATGGTTTCTTTAGCCCTTAAACATTCTTTCATGAATGAATGGTCATTCAAATTGATGTATCTGTTGGGACTCCATCTCTGCAGGTCTTACTCCTTTGTTCTGCTCAATTTCTCCACTATTAAAAATGTCCTTTTAGCTTACTGTTGAAAACATATTCATAACATTAACAATATTTGATGTTAAACTGTATGTATTTCAATGATACTATAATTCTGTTCTTCTTATAGTACCTGTTACACACACACACACACACACACACACACACACACACTGCTCCTGGGTTGTCAGAGCCAACTTGTTCTGTGGCTTATGAACACTTACTGTCATATATCTTCAGAAACTGCCAGCTCCTTGATGTTAGACAAGTGATTTGAAATTTCTTAAGGTGATAGTATTTGTATCGTGAAAATTAGAAAATTCTGCAAATGAATTCCTTTTTTTCAGAGTACCAGTTATTAAATGTTTATTAGCTTGCCTGTGTGCTTAAGCATCTTTCTTAATAAAAAGAAGATATTGCTTTTGTATCTGATATTTAGATAAAATTTACAATGAAAGAAACAAACTAATTGTTTTTTTTCCCCTACATTTTCAGGGATACGGAAAGACCGAAGGGGAGGGAGAATGTTGAAGTATAAGCGACAAAGGGACGATGAAGAGAGGAGGAATGAGGTGGGGCCATCTGGAGACATGAGAGCTTCTAACCTTTGGCCAAGCCCTCTTGTAATTAAGCACACTAAGAAGAACAGCCCGGCCTTGTCCTTGACAGCTGATCAGATGGTCAGTGCCTTGATGGATGCTGAGCCGCCCTTAATCTATTCTGAGTATGATCCTACCAAACCCTTCAGTGAAGCTTCCATGATGGGCTTATTGACCAACCTGGCAGACAGGGAGCTGGTTCATATGATCAACTGGGCAAAGAGGGTACCAGGTAAGAATGCTAAGCTCAACTTTTAAGAGTTGTAACTTTGAAGAACTTGTGATGTCATGGGGAGAAGGGGGGCCAACAGTACATCATTATCTAATTTCAATGTTATAACAAGATTTGTTAATTTTCACTATTGACATATCCGAAGTTTTCCGGAATTTCAGAAAAAAACATTTAAAAATCTAGAGTGCTAAAATC